AAGTGGTCGGTGCCCACCGTGCCACTGAAAATATCGGTGCCAGTGTTCACTGAACAGCGAAGGTATCTGTTTCTAAAATATTTTTGTGTTAAACCTTATTATTTACAACAATATATCAGTGTGTTCACCGAAAAACTGGACGGTGAGCACCGAATACCGAAAATAAGTGTTCGGTGGACGCTGACACCGATATGTCAGTGGCACGGTGGACACCGACCACTTATATTCAGTGTTCGGTGGACACTGACACCGATATGTCAGTGGCACGGTGAACACCGAACACCGAATATAAGTGTCACTGAAAATCGTTGTCAGTGAAATTCAGTGCTCAGTAAACCGACACTGCACATCCCTACTACGACTTTAAAAGTTATAAAGATAGCCAATACTACTAAAGGTATTCTCAGTGAATGAAACATTAGAAAATGAAATCAGAATATACAAGAAATTTTACTATCTTTACTGGGTTACTAATAAAAATAAGTAGATATTGAAATAGATATTCGATTCTTCATAGTTTGTGTCGTCAGATGATATGAGATCCAATCAGTCAAGTCGAATATTTTAGAAGCAAGACTATCTATTATATTTGCTAAAAACAAACATTCATATTTGTATGTTGAATCCTTGAAATAAAAGTTCTATTAAAAATCTATTTATTATACTTATATACTAAATAAAACTTCGTATAAAAATTCTTTTCAATATGAAGTGAGAATATCGATGATTTTTCAAGATGGATCCTATAAAAAAAAGGATTAAACTACTACACCTTTTATATATACTAAAAGAAAATTTATTCAAAGATAGTTGATTGAACATCTGTGCTAGACATCAGTATGTATACAGGTATAGAAATACAAAAAACTAAGAATTAGTGCATAATGCACATTAACAGTGTATATATTAGTATTTAAATGTCTCATAATAGTGTATTGAAAACTAAATGAATTGCTTTTCATTCTTAGTATCAACTTGTCAATTGATGTTTAATGAACCAACTTCGCTAAGCATAACAAATTCTTCTGATTCCGATTTCAGCGCTGCCATTGTCAATGATTTTAATGGCGATGGTTTATTAGATCTTGTGACCACATATACTGACTTTTACACGGTTGATACAAATTTGTACGTATTTCTGGGAAATGGAGACGGAAATTTTAGAGAAAAAATAACGTGTCCAACGGGCGTGAATAATTATGATGTTCCAGGATTTCTTGCTACTGCTGATTTTAATAATGACGGTCATCAGGATCTCGCTAGTATGAATTATTTGAGCGGCAGCGTAGGTATCCTAGTTGGAGAGGGCAATGGGACTTTTGAAACAATGCAATTATTGACAAGTAATACTTGGTATTTGTTTGTATTCTTTTTTGAGCATCCTTGGTTAACTACAAGCGATTTGAACGGGGACAGTTATATAGATATCGTCTTTATCGACGTTACAAGTTGTAGTATAGGTTTATTTTTTGGATATGGAAATGGAACTTTTACAACTCAAATAACATTGCCTGTAATAGATGATTTTTGTTTTTCATCGGGTATTATCGCTGATTTCAATGGTGACGGTAAACAGGACATCGCTGTCACTCTAGGTCAGAAGAATTACATGTCTGTGATGTTTGGATATAAAAATGGAAGTTTCGAAGAGCCAATGATCTTATCAACAGGAGATTACAGTAGTCCAACTTCAATCATCGCAAATGACTTCAATGGTGACAAATATTTAGACATTGTCGTTGCGAACACAGGCAATTATAATATTGGTGTGTTTCTTGGAAACGCTGATCGAAGTTTTCGAGCACAAATGATATTTCCAATAAAAACTCTTTATCCACCATACTCAATGACTGCCGCTGATTTCAATGGCGATGGCCAACTGGATATTACTTTCACTATTTTTCCAGATGCTGTTGTAAATCATAATTTATATTCTTCAGTAAATTTTGTATATGTGATGACTGGATATGGCAACGGAAGTTTTGGAGAATCAATTCAAGTTTCAACCTGGACTTCGAATCCAGCTTATATTGGTATCGGTGATTTTGATGGTGATGGTGGATTTGATTTGATCCTTCTTGGATACGTCCCAGGCAACGACACTATATTATTAAACACAAGTCCTTGTTCTATACATAACTCTTCAAGTCAATTATATTCATCTACTACTAAATTTCCGTAATATTAATTACAAAAAAAAACAAATTTCAAGAATTATCCACAAATAAAACTTTGCTTGACATTAAAATGCTGTAAATATGGCTTTCGCTTGCTTCAATTTCGCTAATAAAACAATCTTCAAATTCTTTTCATTAATATTCGACTTTTTTAGATTGAAACCAAAATTAATAATAAAGAAAATTCACAATATTTTAATAAATACATGAATAAATCAAAGAGATTATATATTCATCAAAAATAAGCAAAAAAACTAAAAACAGAAGATAGAAATAAAGATTAGAAAAGAAGAAAATAAAATAATGAAAAAAAAACAAGAATTAGCTCATTTACAAGAATGACAAGATCACCAAGTAGTAGATTTATAGAAGATTGGATGAGACATCGAGAGCAAATGAATACAAAAAGAGAAAGAAACAGTTATTATATTTTTTGTTTTTACTTTACTTGGGCGCATCCAATAACTATTGAGATAATGTTGCTCCTACAAGAAAATTTAATTTGATATATTTTCCTCTTACTTCTTTCGATTCTGCAATATTGGTTACATCTGTTATTCTCATTATTCATTTATTTTTAATCCGTATACTATTTCTTTGTTTTTCTACATAACATTGAAATAATACGTAAGTTAACCGCTGACGATGAATTATTCATGAACCTTCTTATATGTCAAAAGTTGAATATTTGATGTATCTAACCTGTAAATTTGAGGGTGTAGCCGTGGGTGTGCGTGAAAAAAAAAGAATGACTTATACCCATACCCACACCCATCCTCAAGATTAACCCAACTATAGTTACATCATCATCGATAACTTGTCAAATATTTATATGGAAAGCAAATTCATCATTGTAACTATGTTGATTATAATTATATGCGTGAAGAAAACAATCATAATATTCTTACGTCAGTTACAAGTGAAGATAATGTCTGTAACCATGTTGAATAGAGTCAATATGTCACTTACGCTCATATTTAGACACTAAATTTTTCATCTGACATCCTCTACATTCAATTATATCTATAAAAAAAGATAATAGATTCTCCTGCCCTCTATAAACTTTCTCTTTCATCCTTTTACAATGTTTATTATTTAACTACGTTGTTATTATTATTATCATCTTCTATCTTTTAACTTATGTGTGCTTGTCATTTCTTTTCAACTTTTTTTATCTTCATATTACAAGTTTTCATAGACACAATAAACAAGAACGTATACAAATTCGATTAGTTAAAAGTTTGATTATGATGTTGCTTGTCTTGTGGCTTATTTCATTAAAGTTCATTCTTGTACAAACAACACCTATCGAACAATCTAATTCGACAACAACTTTTAGCACTGATAAGTAAAATATCTTTATACTAAAATGAATTTTTTTTCTGATAGAATCGATTGAAATGTAGATTACCAATGGATGGTTCTTTACTTGATTATCGAATTTTACCCTATATTGGTAATGGTCATCTAGCTACAGTTGTATACAATGATGTTATTTATATGAATGGACTTTATAATGGTCAAAATGGTTTGTCTATTGTTTTTCTTCTTTTTTTCTTAATATTTATTTTTCAATTAAAGGTACCAGTCATCGAGCATGTATTCCAAGTACATTAAATTGGCAATTTAAAATTAATTCATCATCATCATTGTATACTTTAAATGTTTCATCAGGTAAAATCTATTTTCTCAGTCATTTTTACTTTGTTATATTCATAGGTATATTCAGTGAAATACTTGAAAATGATAAAGTTCGAATTGAACGACGTCTCTTTGCTTCACAAGAATATACTGAATTATTACTTGCTCATGTAGTACTAATTCGCAAAGCACCTATAGGTTAGATTTTTTTTTTGTCATAATCATTATGTTTTATGTCGAATATTACTGTAGGAACGAGAATTGTTGTACCTATTGAAGTAAATGAAAATACAACGAGTGATGATATCGATTTTGCCAATGCAACTCGTACTTCTCAATATGTGTAAATAATATTTAATCTAATTTTATGCCATTGTTCACTTTTTCTTATTACAGTTTTTTATCTGGTAAAACACGTGAAATTGAAAATAGTCAATTTCAAGCAGAGTCATTACCTGTATTTGTTTATTATACACCGTTACCTGTCCATGGATTAGAACTTAATGAAGACGAAACAAATCGGACATATCTTTTTGTTACGTCGATTGATGGAAATCAATCAAAAGCTAAACAAAGTTTTGATTATGGTAAGCTCTATTTAATGATATTCTTAAAATAGATAAAATATTCGTTGTTGTTTTACAATAGCAACAAATGAGCAACAACCAGATGCTATTTTAGCATCACATATATCACGATGGAATGATGTTTGGTCCAATGGACATATCGATATAGAAGGAGATGATGAATTACAAAGACAAATCAATTCTGCTTTTTATTATATTTTAAGTTCTCTACCACCACTATCAACGAAAAGTAAACCAAAACAATTCTATGGTTTAAGTCCTGGTACTCTTTCATGGGGTGGACATGATGGAGAAGCTTATAGTGGTCATTCATTTTGGGATATGGAAACATGGATGTATCCATCAATTCTTCTTTTCTATCCGACGTAAGTAGAAGTACAATCATTCTGTTGATTGATGAATTCTTTTTATTAGATTGGCCAAAGAAATGTTATCATATCGAATTGCTCTAAGTGATGCTGCAGCTTATAATGCTCGTCTATTTGGTTATGAAGGATGGAGGTATCTAATAAATTATATATATATATATATTTATTTTTTATAATTCTTGTGAATAAGGTTTCCTTGGGAAAGTGCTAGAACTGGTATTGATGTCACACCAGATTGCTGCCCTACAGGTCGACTTTATGAATTGCATATTACGGGCGATATTGCATTTGCAGCTAGACAATATATTGCAGCTACAGGCAATCAAGATTGGTTATTAAATGAACGTGGTGGAGAATTAATCTATGAAACAGCTCGATTTTGGGCTTCACGAGCGATCTATAATACTGATAGAAAACAATATGAAATATTATGTAAATCATTTTTCTGAAATAAAACTATTTCATGTTGTATTTTATATTCTGATAGCTGTGTTACCACCAGATGAAGATGCTGAACCATTTAAAAATAATTCTGTTTATACAAATGCAGTCGCTTCACTTTCTATTCAACTAGCTAATTATGTTAGTTATTTTACTAATAAAACCGTACCACAAAAGTGGTTGGATATTGCATCTAATTTATATTTTCCTTTCGATAATTCAACTCAAGATTATCTTGAATATGATGGTTTTAATTTAAGTAAGTGATGCACTTGATAGACTTTAATTCAAAGAATTCATCATATCTGTATACATTTATATAGAGAATACTACTATTAAACAAGCTGATGTTGTACTTCTTGGTTTTCCATTAATGTGGACAATGAGTGATATAGTTAGACGAAATGATTTATTAGCTTATGAACCTTTAACACGTACTGATGGACCTGCTATGACTTGGTCGATGTATTCGATTGGATTTACTGAATTAGGTAATTTTGATAAAGCTGATCAACTATTTCGACGTTCATATCAAAGCTATGTGCGATCTCCATTCAATGTTAGTTATTTTAATATTTTTTTTTTCATTTAGTTTTCATTTTATTTGAATATTATAGGTATGGACAGAAACTCAACAAGGTGTTGGAACAGTTAATTTTATAACGGGTGTTGGAGGTTTCTTACAAGCTATTCTTTTCGGTTACGGTGGTATTCGTTTAGAATTAAATCAACTTGAATTTAATCCCCGAGGTCATCTACCAGATCAAGCAACGAAATTTACTTTTCATGGTATTAAATATCAAGGATTTATTTTTGATTTGACTATTAATAGCAATATGTATGAAATTTTCGTTCTTGTTCAGAGCAATATCGACTATATTTTTCTTGTATATGAATATGGTGAGCATCATGGTTCACTCAAACTAAATGATCGTCTTTCATTTCCCATTGGCACGCGTCTTATCATTCGTCGATCAATAACTCTTTGTCCTTAACATTATATTTCATTGTCTATTTTTTTTCATTTCTTCAGAATTTGAAATATATTCGTAGCGATATTCCCTGCAATCATGAGGGTGAGGGTAAGATTAATACAATACTCACACCGATACCCTCAAGTTGAATCTGTTTTGATAAAAAGAAAGTAAGTAGATGAAAATTCCTTGAGAAAGACATTGTAGATATTACTAAAATTATGTTTTATATTTATAGGGAACGAACTATAGTTAGATAACATCGGGAAAACGTTGAAGCGAATAAATAATTTTAATAGAAAAGAATTGTAAACAAAATAATTGAATATTTGTTTTATATTCCAAAGAGATATTTAGTATTTATTGAAAAATGAATTCTTTTTATATTGAGAGAAATATTTTTTGAGGGTATGGGTGTAGCTTTATCATTTTATGCACACAACCACACGCTCTAGATGGTGTCACAATATCCTTTGTTACTGACTCAAAGATTTATTCTTGACTTATATGAAATTCGAAAATAAAACAAAAAAAAATTTTTTTTTCTTATTTAAATTTAGAAGGAGATAATTCAGGAGTAAAATCATTTCCAATAATATCACTAAGTATTCGTTCTCCAACATACCATGAATATAATGCAAAATCGACTCTCTGATTAATTCCATAATCAAATCCTGGAAAATATAAATTGTTTTTTATTATTGATTTACATCTACCATCTGTTATTGGTAAAGATGGTTTTTCTGGTGGTAAATGATGATAACGATGATTACTTAAATATTGATTTGTATCATCTAAGAATTGTTCCAGTCCATGTGAAAATCCAGTACATAAAATAATTCCATCAAATTCTTGAATTTCTGAATTTTTTTCAAATATAACTCCTTCTTCAATAATTTCTCTAACACTTCCTTTTATTTCAATTGATTTGTTTTGAAGTAAATCAAAAAAATGCATATCATCAATAAATGTTTTCTTATGTAAAATTATAAATGAAGCAGGTCTTAATACTGGTATTGTCCAATGAATTTCATCGTTAATATGATATATTTTTTCCGAAAACTGTTCATTGAATATTTCCAATATCTCTTTAAAGTTTTCATCTGCCATCGAATATCCCCAATATTGTAATGATTTTTCAATTGCTTGATTAGATAAGTAAGATGTCCAATCTTGTTGTCTCATAAAGTACTGTCCACCACGATGTGCAATAGTGACATGAAATCCAGCATCTGTTAATTCAGTTGAGATTTCTGAAGATGAATGTCCACCTCCAATAATAAGAATTTTTCTATGCTTTGAAATATCAAAGTTCGAGGGATTTTTATAGTCAGCTGAATGAATTATCTTTGTTTTAAAACGATTCATAGATTTCTTTATATTTTCTGGAATGACTGGAACTCGACAGTAAGAAGTTGCAATACAAAGATATTTACAAATGTAAGTTCTTTCAATATTTTCGCCCACGTTAATTCCAGTTACAGTCCAGCAGAACTCTTCATCGTCTTGATTAGAAATTCGTGTTACTCTAAATCCAAATATTATGTGATTTGATATTCCATAATAATCTGCGTATTGCTGTAAGTATATTGGCACTTCGGATTGCAAAAGAAAATGATCTTTATACTTCTCTGAAAGATCATGAGGTGTTTTATATAATCTACTAAGATCATGCATCCGAACAGAATCGTAGGTATGATATTTCCAAAAACCTCCAATACTGTCTGTTTGTTCTAATAAAATATAGTCATGAAAATTATTGTATGCTAATGATCCAGCAACTCCAATTCCACTCCATCCTCCTCCAATAATTACGACGGATTTTTTGAGTACCATTTGTTCTTTCTTAGATTGAAAATAATTATTAATAAAAATAATGATGATGCAAAAACACAAGTGTTGCTTTTTTTCTTCTACAAAGAGAAAAACATACGTCATTACATATAGCTTAATGAAAGACTAGAGTACAATGATAATAAAATACTTGTATATCAAAAGCTTTAGAAGTGTGCTTCTTAATAAATTTAAGTACTTCGAAATTACAGAGTTTAAAGCCATAGGTTCTCATGTTGAAAAAGAAGAAGAAGAAGGCAGATATCAGTCATTCAACGATTATTGTTGTGAATAGTAATAATTAATAAAGATATAAAAGTAGATGCAGTTTAGTAGTGTACATACCTGTTATATACTATTAGAATAGATGAAATTAAAATAAATAGACGAATTAGAACGAGTAGCAGTAGTTTATATCATCTATCATTATGAAGTCGTTGTGCAATAATAAAGAACAAAATCACCTAAAGAGTAATATTCTGAGTCATTGGTTATAATAAATAATAATGAAGATGACATCATCTTTACTCATTCTTGAATAGTCACACACATATCTTTGAAAAGGTGAGACACGTGTTTGTTTGTAACTTTGTGTCGCAATAAAATGACATATTTCTTTCTTTCTTTGCTCTTCTTCATAAATATCATATCTAATAAAACGAATATAACAATAAAGGAATAGTATATTGAGGATGAAGTTGAAGGTATTACTATTATAATAAAGAGTTACTACAACTAGTTTGATCCTTTCTCAGGGTATGAATATATCCTATCTTAACCTTCATCTACGCTCACACTCACATTCATTCGTGTTTCTTCTGCTGGTATTACTCATTTATATAAGAGTAGTCAAAATTTTCAGAATTTTTGAATATGTTACATGTCATTAAAGATCAATATCGAGGATATGAAGTGGGTGTGAGAATGAATTTAATAGAATACTAACACCCACACCCCAAAATTCACTATATTTTCCCTAGACTGTAAGGATAGAACCCTCTCGCAATCTTTCTTTCATGGAAACAGAACAACAGTACTTAACACGTTGACTGTCCCCATACAAAAAAATGAGTACTTGTTCTACGTCCATTTTTTACTTTTTTCGTACTTTTAAAATATATTATTTTTGAAGTGTATTACGTTCATATACCACAAAAATAAGTTTTAAACATATCTTTGATGCTTTTTTTTCCATGCAACACATATGATTCAATTGTCTCTGTTAGAATAATACTATAGAGAAAAACTTGCTAGAAAAAACACAAAACTTTTTCCAAATCAGCTTCCGTCGTTGAAAACAAAATTCGAATTATCGGCGGGGTTAATTGAGGGGGGAGTACATCCTTCCCTATCCCCTGCCCCCCCCCCGCTCTCGCGGGTACTGTTTACATCGTGCCGATAAATTTCAATAGTTTAAATATCATATGCAGCGCGTGCATCATATGTGATGCACGGGACGTCTCAGTCCAAAGTATCGTGTATCACATATGATACACCTGACAGTCAACGTGTTAATATTATATTTCATGTGTCCAGATGATCATCTGAATAAATCTTTTTATGAAGAACAACTGTTTTTTTAATATATTTCGCAGCTTGTTCAAAAATTCCGTTTGTTTTTATAAGATTGTTTGCATATGTGTGGAATTGCGAATATAGAATACGATACTCATCTATCTCGGAAAACTTTTAAATATATCCATCATATCTCTTATTATTCAAAATAATCTTCGTAAAAACTGGAATAAAATTCAAATATTCATTCAATATTTAGGTAAAACTCCAGCCACAGAAGATGGAATACTTATGGAGCACAAGTTAAAGTTGTGCAAATCGATCAGAGATCATTAGATAAGAACTTTATATCTGAATTATATTTAGAATAAATGAAAAATACTAATAATTTATTTTTATTTTAATTGAACAGAAATAACATTTCCGTTTCTTCAATCCATTACCAAGTATAATTATCTAAGACCCATACGCGAGTATAAGATTTTTCTAATAAAAATTGTAAAAAGAGATCTCAACTAGGCAACCACTACATGAAAATTGAATTGGACTTAATTAGGTATTAACTTAATACGAACTGGAAAATCTCCAATTATTTTTCATTTCCAATATAAAAGTGATAAAAATAGGATCAAGATCATCCAGTACTAATATTTACAATAGTAATTTATATGAAATATAGATATATGAAAGAAAAAAAAAGAAATTTTAGATCAGAATGATTTTAAAAATGCGTAAATCAATTTTATATTTATATTCATTTATTTTAAAATTTATTTTTGGTGATAAATGTTTTTCCGCATAAAATACTCTTTTATCATCGAATAAGCGTTGCTAATGAATCTTTTCATTTCTAATTAATTTCAAGTTGAATAGCTTCATTTTCTTCATTATGATGACGTTTCTTTTTTCTCATTACTGTCATGCTATTTATTTCTATTTTTAATAACTTTCTGTTTCCTTCAAAATATTATAATTAATAAAAATGACGACTCGAGGTGATGTTTCCAAAGAAAAATGAAACTGAGAATATTATTTTTGACATGTCAACATTTCTTTGACGTATTTTAATCGCACTATGTGGCATCGAGAAATGGCGCATTATTATTTCCAATTCTTTTCACATATTTTATTTATGTGAGACAATATGCGTATTCAGTTTTTCTTCCTTAAAGAATACGACCAATCAAATACAGTTTATATATAGCAAATAGGTATAACGAAGTATTTTTCGCTATATCGGATATTAAATAAATGATTGACGATTGTTCTTTCAAGCAATTTTTTTAATGTGTCGTTTAAAATATTTTTCAAAATGACGTGTACAGCAAGTACCATCTTAGTGAATGAAAAAAAAGATCTTGTTTTTCCAAAAAGAAATATTGATGGAATTAATGAGAAAAGAAAAAAAAAAACTTGTGTGACGTATTTGTCATTGCAGACGACCTCCCAAGCAGATAATTTTATCTAACGCTCGATTACGAAAGAAAAAGAAAAATACTCTCTCATCATCTTTTTTCTCTTTTTCTCTTTCTCTCATTTAATCTCGGAACGTTTTCTTTTTACCGTAAACATTAGCATTATCTACGATGATGCTGTTAGTTTCATTGAAAATAGTGTTTCTTCTGATCTTAAGTAAAAATATTGAATGCCAAACATTGTATCCAACATCAGCAGGTTATGTTGGTGCGGTCTATACAATGTCGAATGGAGCGGCTATGAATCAAATATTGATTCATAGTATCACTTTAAATGGACAATTGGTAATGTATAACGCAGTGAATACCACTGGAACTGGTGTGAATACTACAACGGCAGATCCACTGTTTTCACAAGGATCTCTAATGGTTTATTCGAATTATTTGTTTGCTGTCAATCCAGGATCAAATTCATTGTCGATGTTTATGATTAATCAATCGGATGCAACACAATTAACATTATTATCGGTACAACCTACAAATGGCATCTTTCCTATATCAGTAACTGTCAACGCCATGTATGTATGTGTTTTAACTGGCGGTACTATTACAGGAATTCGATGTTTTACTTACAATGCATCAGGTCTGTTTGTTGTGTCATCGTTTGATCGAAATCTTACATCGTACATATCTACAACGGTTCCACCTACTGGTCCTGCACGAACATTGAGTCAAATCTTATTTTCAGCAGACAATCTTGCTTTAATTGTTTCTGTCAAAGGTATCAATGTGACAACCCCAGGTTATCTCTTATTTTATCCCATGAGTAGTAATACAAGTGTGTTAGCGTCTAATGCAGTGCAAATGACGCCCACGAATGCTGCTCAACCATTTTCTATGACCCTCGTGGGTACGAATGGTCTATTAGTTACTGACCCCGGTACCAATGGAGTTTTAACTATGACATATTCATCAACAACTGGAATGATTAACAACAGTATGTTAACAGGGGTCAATACAACACTTGCCAGTGCATTATGTTGGTCAACGTATTCACCAAATATTGGTAATTATTATGCCATCGGTGCGGGAACACCAAGCATTGTTGAATTGAATCTTAATCTCACTTCAGCATCTAACCCTGTTCAGATTGTTCAGTATTATCAAGTGCCCAACAATATTGGTGCCCTTGAAGCAACAGTGGTGAGTTTGGCAGGTAAAGATTATCTGTATGTTATAGGTACTACAGCATATGGTATCCGCAGTTATCAACTAAATGCAGCTGGAAATGTTACAGCTCTTGGTACGGTTATTTCACAACCAGGTGATACGACAAACATTCCAAAACTGGCTGGCATTGCTGCGTTTGTTCAAACTCAATCATCGTTGACCTCAACAACATCGACGACATCAACAACATCAACAACATCGACAACATCGACGACATCGACGACATCAACAACTTCGACAACATCAACAACATCAACAACATCGGTATCAACAACATCAACAACATCGGTATCAACAACTTCGACAACATCAACAACGTCGGTATCAACAACATCGACAGCATCGACGACAACATCGGCATTAACAGCATCAACAACGACAACAACAGCAATAACAGCAACAGTGACAACGACAACAACAGCCACAACGTCGACAACATCGAAATCATCGGCTGAAATGCTTATAACGTCGGTAATTACTATTATGGTTTGCATGGCATTTATTTTCAGTGGTTGAGAGCAATATACATGAACCACATAACTTACATTATACCCGCTACCAATTATATATTCATCATTTGCTTTTTGTCTCGTTTTTTCTGTATTTCAACATTTCATATGAATAAACCAGCTATTCTTGCTACTCAAATCATTTCAACTTCTCCATGAATAATTGTCGAAAGAAATATTCAATTATGATAGAGAAAGATGAATACTAGAAATGTGAAATTTCATTTCGATTAAATTCAAATAAACAGAATTGCAACCCGTACAGTTTTTGAATATTGTTATTTATTTTTAGGCGATTCAAAGATTATGTATCTCAGATTTCTTTAGTATTTGTTCGTCTAAATTTAAGGGTGGTTGTGGAATGTGAGAATATTGTATTTATCCTTTGCCCTCATCCAACCATTTGACTTTAATGGATAATGATGTAATTTATTGAAAGGAGATTGAAATAATAATATCAAATATTTGACAACATATAAATTTCCTGCTACTATTGTGTAAGTCGATATTTATCGTGAAATATTGAGTCGAGGAATTGATTGATCATGCAATTTAGGATGATCTTTTATTTTTATATTTGATGCTAAATTGCAACGATTCAATTTTCTGATAAGTGATGAAAGGTAAGTTGATATTTAATGCTTTTTTATTATGTATAATATCAGCACAGCTTTGTTGATCATGGATTTTTGTGTGTACTCAGATATTTCTCTCGTCATTTATTAATGTATGAACTAAATAGAAAAAAAACAGAAGAACTTTTATATATTGTTTTTAAAAGTTTGTCACATGTATTACTCCACTCAAAAAAGTAATAAAAAATGATCGACTTTCTCATAGGCCAATAAATTGATTTTATATCTTATATTTTGTTGATTGTTCTGTTTTTTTGTGTTTGTTAAAATTGTAATAAACTTCTTTCTCTAATGTGATAACAGATCAGTGATAATTCAAAAACACATATTAAAAACTACCGTTTGGATGTCGTTTGATGGATGTATAAGTAAATGAAAAGATACCTACCCGTACTTGCTCTTGCTTATCAACACTTTTAATCTTTTGTCATAGATCTTACTTTCTCATAGGTCAATGGATTTATAATTCTTCTATCACATTACTGCCATGTCAAGTTCTTATATTCAGTATATTTTAACTAATATTTCATTTACTTTTCATTGATATTGCTGGTTTCAGTTTCACTTCTATATCAAACTATTAATTTTATGCGAGGAAATTTAAGATCTAATCATGTCCTCAAGTTAGTCTATTTATTTAATATATGGATTCTTTCCACTTTATTCTATTTTATCGTTTCATTACCTGGATCGTTCTCTGCGTTCTTTAATATATGACGCATGATATGAGTTTGATGAGGGTGTGGGTAATTATCTCCATTTCTCGCTCATCTATTTCAAAGAAATTTGTCATCAACAGCTTATAATTGATTTATATAATTTTACGATCGAACAAAAACATAGAATAGCACATTCATAATCATTTAGTGTTTCTTTAAGTTACTTTTTTCTTTCTCTAAATAGTCATACGATCATTATCGCCACAGATGTGGAGCTAATGTTTTGAGAATGATGATTTTATCTGTTTTACTACTGTGAATATTGAAATATTTTAAAAAAAAGAAGAACGAAAAAAGCCAGCTGTTGTCTCATTGTTAATA